TGGGCACAAAAATAACGTCACGCAACAATGTCAATTTTAAGAATTTCTGTGCGTTTACTCACAATATGCCCCATTTCGATTCAGACAAAAAATGTATTATGAAATACTTTCGCATGAGAGGCATTTACACAAACATTTTATCAAGTTACTTGTCAGAAAAAAAAGTCCACCAAGTCATCTCAACATGCAAGTGTTTTATAGGAATAGACCAGAAGACAGCCACGGTGGTGTTCTCATAGCAGTCTCTAACGAGTTTATATGTACACAAGAACCAGACCTCGAGACCGACTGCGAGATGGTATGGGTTAACCCTACCTAGACCGGGCTTTTTTGGTCGGGGGGGACCGGGGGGGTCTTCTTTGACCCCCCCCCTAAGAACTCACGAACGGTATGTCGTATGACCACCAAATTTTCAGAGAATGGTGTACTAGTTAAAATTTATCATATCTACAATTTTTATGTCGTTATGACGTAATATGACGCCATTATGACGTCATTAATGTGATTTTATTGGCCAAAACCGTCTAAATAGGTTTTTCCCTGAAAACTAAATGGTATTCAACATAACTGTACCAAAAGTGTTCATCAAAAGTGTTTATGACAGAATATTATGGTGTACTAAGTCTTATGTTGCCCATAGCAACACCGGTGACGTCATAAAATGACGTCATGCGTATTTAAGATATCCGCCATCTTGGATCATCAATCTTGAATTTTCAAAAATAGTTTTTTTCATGATAAAGCCTAAAATACATTGTAAACATACTAAATACCTTCATTTAAACCTTTTTTTTTAAAAAATTGAAGTATTGATGAGATTTTAATAAAAATAACCTGTATATACCTGTTCTAATGATATGGTCCGCCATCTTGGATTTTGGCCAATGACGTCATCAAATTAGCATAAATTATGCATATTTAATGATAAAATTTACATAAAATTATATGGGAAGTTATTAATATTAGAAACCATGAGTAACTTGACATAAAACCCATAAAATTCTATTGTTGAAACAAAAAGTAGTAAATTTAGCAAAAAATGCCTGTCAGAAACCCGTTGCCATGGAAACACAAAAAATTATTATCTTATTCCAATGACAGAGAATTGTTGCCAACAATATTCTAGGAAAAGTCATCAAGTTTGGCCGTTCTACGGCTAGCCGTTCAGACGCTAGGTGACATCAAAGTTGCCGCGGGCACTTTTACCCCCCCCCCGGTCTAGGTAGGGTTAAGTTTTTTTAGAGGTAAGTAGATGCAAGGTAAGTATGATTGTCTGTGACGTCACCGTGAACGGTTTTACAATATTTGCTTTCATGACTTTTCAAAGCTACATGTTTCGTTGAGCCGTAGAGCTGGCCATGGGTCGAACTGGTCGCCATGTTGACTGTGATGCAGTCATAATAGGTTACCTAACCAGTAGCGACAAAAAAACTTAACTTTTCAAAAAAGAATGGTGAGATAATTGATAAAGATTGAGAAGATATGTATATTTTGAGAAGAGTATATTGAGAAAATATATATTTTAGTTGATGAACATTATAATTGTTGTTGAATATAATCATAAATGCTGAATTTTGGTGTCATATTTTCTTTCTATGAATTTCTAGAGTCCACCACTGTCCTCGGTAGGACCATGATCAAAAACAGGTCTGAATGTGTTGTGTGTTATGATGTTATACACTGACACAGAGGAGCTGTCAATACTGACAGAAACGGTTTCCTACGAATGAAAAATCACGACGTTGTGATGAGGTTCACTAGAAAAAATACAAGCCTCTTCTTAAGAAACCACGACATGAATATGTGATTCTTTTATCCGTTGTCAACCATAAAGTCATCCGGTACAATTTCAGGTTTCATGCCCAAACCCAAGTTTTACTGGCGTGAAATTGCTTTGAGTGCCTTTAACTACCATCGTAGTGAATTCACAAAAGGTACTAAAACCGAACTTATGAAAACAACAACATAAAACTCCTTCATAACGTCCCTAGACAATGTATTACTGCGTACTTGGAACTGTGAAATGGCTGATTACTCTTCTGTAATGGCTCTTACTATATATATCAAGACATAGCTTTTTATCTCATTTATTTAGTACGTAAATTTATTTCCACTGGAAAACGTGATAATTGAAAAAGTCGTGATAATTCTTTCTCTAATAGTTATCCCTTTTATCCATATAAGAATTCCATGTAAACATTATATGGGAAACTAGAGATAACATGTCCTTATCTCATTTTTTCTATTTAACCATACATAGAACCCTATATGGAGAATAAATGAGATATGTCTTTATCTCCTTTTTTGTCCCATATAAGCATATATAGTGTTTATTTGGTAAAAATATTGACACAACCTTCCAAAACTACTTATCACAACTTTTTAAGTTATCACGATTTTCCCTTAGAATAAAAATACGTACTAAATAAATAATCAAGTCTATGTATCATGGTCTCCAAACCCTTCAGGATGAAATGTCCAGTGCGGAACTCACCACATCCAGGAGCTGAGCGATGGCCAAGCCGAACTCGATGACCACGATGTTGGAGATGTTTGCCACCGGCCGGATCCACTTGTTATAATCCCTGAACAGGTCCCGGAACAGCCGCTCTTCCGACTGCGTGGCCACGCCACCTGGAGACACGTGTCAGGAAAAGAAGGTTCTTGATAAACAACCTGAAATATGTTTACCGACTACTTTCCTTCAAACCGTGATGTATTTCTAAACCTCCCCACCATTTACCAGCTCAATAAAGAGCTATTCTTCCACTAGACCACAGAGAAGACAGACGCTATGTACAGTATTAAGTTCATTGTACCGGGAAATCCCCCTAGCCCCTTTTCTACAAGTACAATGAACATTGGCCCACTGCTTTACATATTGTACGAAGGAATGCTACCTTTTCTAGTAGGGTGCATGTCGGGTGAGCGGCAACAGTCAGAACTCTCTTGGTTCAGAAGCAGGGTCGCTAGCCACTGCGCCACCTTTACTCCATGACCTTATATTATGTTCTATCTAGATAGTGTTTCCCCGCTCTTTCACCTTGCCCATCTTTCAGCTGAAAATGTGTTTTAAGTGTTATGTAGGTAATTAAACAAAATATTGTCGCTGTAAAACATTCGCCTTCGAGTCTGATTTTACAATTCCTGTATTTCGTACCTGGACGTAAGAACTATTAGATGCCATGCTTATAGCATACTTACCTCCGTATAGAGACGTTTTGTGTCGGATATACTAGAGCATGACCAATAACAAGTAAAAGGTCTCGCTCGATATTTTGACCACAGGGCCATTATGTGCGTATAGGTCCTTGGGGATAAGTCCGTTACGAGAAGACAGAGAAAATAGATACTTTGCAGTTGTCGTTCCACGCATTCTATTAGGTGCCATAAACCAGGGAAAACTGTTCTGATTAGGTAGTAGACGTTTGGGGCTTTGATTGTCCTCATGTGGTTATTATTGAACTACTGTCTTTTCCCATCTGTGCAAATTGCAAAATAAATACTCTGATAGTTATTTCAATTAAATTGTTCGTCTAGTTTATATATTACAAATCTTATAATCAAACGCATGTAACAGATGGCACTAAATGCAACCTAATTGGGAAAAGTTGGAAAACATGCAAATTCCTAGAAATACAGTAGATAGAAGGCAATTGCAGAAATATAAGGAACAAGTAATGGAGCATTTTGTACTGACCCTGTTCATAAACCAAGACCCAAAGCGAGCGAAACAGTCTTCTTCAGACAAACGTTAATTCGAAGTGTGTTTCACTTTGACTTAGAACAGGAACTATGCGGCTCCAGATGTCTTACTGAGGGACAACTGCATGTGCGAGATGTCGGTTAGCTTGAGGAATGAATCCCCTCTACTACATACATATTTATGCTACAGTCACCAACACACCAAAACTTTCAGCAGCTGTATTTAAAAAAAGATAATAAACATTACACATGACTTTCTGGATATATCAATGATCTACACACGTTTGAACGAAGTCCATTCTGCCTATCTCATCAGCAGACTGACATATTTCCGTTGAGGTTTACTAAGAATGAATTAGTTTCATCTCTGTCCCTGCAGTACGCATGAGATGAGGACAAACCCACAGACCAGAGTAATGTCGGGATACCGCCCATCCTAATTGGGGGAAGACCGTGTGATTGATGCCGGTCCGGCGGCGCCGCTGTCCCGGGTGTCTGCAGAATCACACGGCTGGTGAAGCCCGCAGCTGCGGCCCGCTAGCAGGGGACAGGACACTAATTCCAGCCCCCATTGGAATATGTGTTAAACATACAAGAACTGAGCTGTCAAAAATCACCTGCCTGAGTGTTCAACTATTGCAAACTCATATTGACAAGGTAGTCCAACTTCCAAATTGTCCATTTAGTCCACAAATTTCACATTTTGACCAGCGAAAATAAGTACGATACATGGCAACAATGAGATCATGACCTCTGACTACCACCCTGCACACCACCAAAAATATTAAACAATGGCATTGCTTTTAGAGCTCTACCAGGCAGCCAAAACAAGTCTATGAGTCAGTTTTATAAACAAAATAGAAAACGAAATAACTCTCGAGCTGGAAAATACCAGCATTTATACACATATACCAAATAGTGACATTTGCCCAGCACTGGGACAGACTACTGCTATCTTACCAAAAAATTCCTATCGACCAGAGGGTTTGTCCATTTTGTCCAGATCTAATTAAGGACGAATATCACTTTTTAACTTTTTTGTCCTAAATATATTGATATACATAATTCACTACACATTAGACTATCAGATTATATTCCAGCATTTACTACAACGAACTTTATAAGCAAAGTTAAATACATAATGACTTGTGACAAACCCTGCCTGCTATATTAAAAACTGTATAGCTATTAGAAACTCCTCCAATGATTGGAACAGTCCATA